GATGATCTTAAGGGCATTAGTCCCACTCTATGCCAGCACAAAATAAAATTGGAAAAGACGCTAAACCGATTGTTGATCACCAACGATGGTTAAATCCTAAGATGAAATAAGTGGTAAGAAATGAAATACTAAAGCTTCTGGAGGTGGGTATAATTTATCCTGTTGCTGATAGTCAGTGGGTAAGTCATGTCCATTGTGTCCCTGAGAAGGAAGGTATTATTGTTGTTCCTAATGATAAAGATGAATTGATCCCACAAAGAATTGTTACAGGCTATAGAATGGTAATTGATTTCCGCAAATTAAATAAATCTACTAGAAAGGATCATTACCCTTTATCTTTTATTGAGCAAATGCTAGAAAGATTATCCAAACATACACATTTTTGCTTTCTAGACGGTTATTCTGGTTTCTCTCAAATATCTATGTCAAAAGAGGATCAGGAAAAGACCACTTTTACTTGCCCTTTCGGTACCTTTGCCTATAGATGTATGCCTTTTGGTTTATGTAATGCACCTGCTACCTTTCAAAGATGTATGACTGCTATATTCTCTGACTTCTGTGAAAAGATTGTTGAGGTTTTCATGAATGATTTCTCCGTGTATGGAACTTCTTTTGATGATTGCTTAAGCAACCTTGATCGAGTTTTGCAGAGATGTGAAGAAACTAATCTCGTCTTGAATTGGGAGAAGTGCCACTTTATGGTTAATGAAGGTATTGTCTTGGGTCATAAAATTTCTGAAAGAGGTATTGAAGTTGACAAAGCTAAAGTTGATGCTATTGAAAAGATGTCGTGTCCTAAGGACATTAAAGGTATAAGAAGTTTCCTTGGTCATGCCGGTTTTTATAGGAGGTTCATTAAAGACTTCTCAAAATTTTCTAGGCCTCTGACTAATCTATTACAAAAAGATGTTCCTATTGTCTTTGATGATGATTGTGTAGAAGCATTTGAAATACTTAAGAAAGCCTTGATTTCTGCACCTATTGTTCAGCCACCTGATTGAAACTTACCCTTTGAAATTATGTGTGATGCTAGTGATTATGCTGTAGGTGATGTCCTATGTCAAAGAATTGATAAGAAATTAAATGTTATCCAATATGCTAGTAAAACTCTAGATAGTGCCCAGAGAAATTATGCTACTACTGAAAAAGAATTTTTAGCAGTTGTATTTGCTTGTGATAAGTTCAGACCTTATATTGTTGATTCTAAAGTAACTGTTCACACTAATCATGCTGCTATTAAATATCTTATGGAAAAGAAAGATGCTAAACCTAGACTTATTAGATGGGTTCTCTTGCTACAAGAATTTGATTTGCATATTATTGATAGAAAGGGAGCTGAGAACCCCGTTGCAGACAACTTATCTAGGTTAGAGAATGTTCTTGATGACCCACTACCTATTGATGATAGCTTTCCTGATGAACAATTAGCTGTCATAAATACTTCTCGTACTGCTCCATGGTATGATGATTATGCTAATTTCATTGTTGCTAAATTTATACCACCTAGTTTCACATACCAGCAAAAGAAAAAGTTTTTCTATGATTTAAGACATTACTTCTGGGATGACCCACACCTTTATAAATAAGGAGTACATGGTGTTATTAGACGTTGTGTACCTGGGCATGAACAGGAACAAATCCTACGCAAATGTCACTCCGAGGCTTATGGAGGACACCACACTGGAGATAGAACTGCACATAAGGTATTGCAATCCAGTTTTTATTGGCCTACTCTTTTTAAAGATGCCCGTAAGTTTGTCTTGTCTTGTGATGAATGTCAAAGAATTGGTAATATTAGTAGACGTCAAGAAATGCCTATGAACTATTCACCTGTTATTGAACCATTTGATGTTTGGGGCTTTGATTATATGGGACCGTTTCCTTCCTCTAATGGGTATACACTTATTTCAGTTGTTGTTGATTACGTTACTAAGTGGGTAGAAGCTATTCCAACTAGTAGTGATGATCATAACACCTCTATTAAGATGCTTAAAGAAGTTATTTTTCCAAGGTTTGGAGTCCCTAGATACTTAATGACTGATGGTGGTCCACATTTTATTCATGGTGCTTTTCGTAAAATGCTTGCTAAGTATGATGTTAATCATAGAATTGCATCTCCATACCACCCACACTCTAGTGGTCAAGTAGAATTGAGTAATAGAGAGATTAAATTAATTTTGCAAAAGACTGTTAATAGATCTAGAAACAATTGGTCCAAGAAACTTGATGATGCATTATGGGCCTATAGAACTTCATATAAAAGTCCTGTGGGTATGTCCCCATATAAAATGGTTTATGGAAAAGCATGTCCACTAAGGGATTTACTCTGTTAATTTTTAGGGGATCGACTATAGATGGCCTAATGAGTTTGAGGGTTTGATCTTTGTCTTATTCGCATTAGTGTTCATGTGATGCTTGTTAGTGCCACTAAATTGCGTACTTCGATCTAAACTCCAAACATTCAAAGTTTTAAGCATGCAACCATAACATCCAAACATTCAAAGTTTTTAAACATAGTTCAAGCGATTCCTAAACAAACTACCGACACTACAGACACTAGACAACTACTCCTCATCACTCTCACACTCAAGGTCCACCCAGTTAATGTCGGAACCTCATCGTCGTGCAGGACATCCTCATGCTGAACCTTGTTGTCGGACCAGACTCGTCCTCCCTCTTCCGCTCTGCCTTCTGACACTCATGGTTCCTCTTCCAGAATAAATCCGCCTTGTACCGCGCGAGCTCTAGATTTTCCTTCGCTATTTTCTCCTTGTTGTTGGACCCGACCTTAATCACCTTGGAGGGGCCAGACTAGTCCTCCGTCTTGCGCTCCGCCTTCTGGCACTCATGGTCCCTCTCATAGAATAACTCTGCCTTGTACCGCAGGAGCTCCAGATTTCCCCTCGCCATTTTCTCCTCGTTGTCGGACCCAGCCTTATTCACCTTGGAGGGGCCATACTCGTCTTCCGTCTTGCATTCCGCCTTCTGGCACCCATGGCCCCTCTTCCAAAATAACTCCGCCTTGTACCGCACGAGCTCCAGATTTTCCCTCATCATTTTCTCCTTGTCACTCTCCCAGGGTGTCCCGCTGCTCTAGCATGATGCGGCTGTCGCTCTTCTCCTTGCGGGGCACAATGTTCATCGGCGGACCAACAAACTCTGGCGCTGTCTAGGATCTGATCTTTGGGAAGTCGAGCTCATGATGCGGCCGGCCGAGCCTCCAACAGGCGATGTCGAAGGCTCGCGTGAGGACCTTCACGTCTTGAAGGTGTTGAGCCAATGGCGTTGTCCATCCCACTGCAGGCCGGCGATGTAGCGGCCAGACTGCCGCAGCAGAACGTCATGGTAGCTGGACTTCAGCGGCATCCTCTTCGGTTGTAGTGCGGCCGTGCAACAGATCCGTCAGCGAGACGACACGGAGGAGCTTGATCAGGCAGCGGGAGGAGGCAGATCGGGCTGGTCTAGCAACTGGATAACAAATAGCTCGATTGGGTGTGCAGCAATAACAGCAGGTGGTGGATCCGGCGACGGTCGATTTGGGTGGCTGCAACGGCTGTCGATTTGGCTGGATTCAGCCGCGGCGATGGCGGGTGCTGGGCGGCCGCAGGAGGGGGTGATTTCACTAGGCGGTTGGCGTGTGTGCGGCTGGGGGAGAGGCGGGCAAATGTGTTGTTTTGACCCTTTTGAGAAAGTTTAGCCAGATCTAACCCTGGTTTGGATTTTGAGACCTAACCCTTTTCCTACCCCGGGGTCGATGGTGGTAGGGTATAATAGCCTACGACCGAGGCCCTTGGCGGTAGGGGTGCACGCCCTACCATAAATAGTTTCTAAGTATCAAATACAGTGCTTGTACTCATCTATCGCCAGGACCCTCGGCGGTAGGGATGCACAGGCTATCGCCAACGTGTTTGGTGGTTGGGCTGCACTGCGCTAATGTGGAAGTTGCCTACCGCCAGGGGCCTCGGCGATAGGCTGGTATACCCTACCGCCATCGACCCTGGCGATAGGAAAATGGTCAGATCCCGATTTTTCTTGAATCAGGGTTAGGTCTGGCTAAACTTTGGCAAAAGGGTCAAAACACTAAATTTGTCCAGGAGAGGCTGCATTTTAAGTTTGGAGCAGCGGCACGGCGATGCAAATTTACGTCACTTGGAGGAGATTTTTTGGGCTGCCTAAAACTAGGACCACATAATTTTACATTAAGGCAGGTGTTGGAGAATTTTGGACCCAAATGCTCTGAAAATCAGTTTTTTGGGCAGCCCATGCAAACTCTGTTGAACCCCGCAAAAACTAATGTTGGAGATGCTCTTCCCAGCAAAGTTGGCCAAACGGGCCGGCCCGACCAATCTTAATCATGCCTGGCACTGTGTGTTGCAGCCTGCAGCCCAGGCACGACCCAACTGCTAACCGGACCGGCCTGTGTGCTACAACCTGCAACCCAGGCACGACCCAACTGCTAACCGGGCTGGGCTGCTTGCTGTTTGGCCTACCGGGAGTTTTTGGGGTCTATTTTTACCTTTAGGCTAATGTTTAGGCCATATAGAGAAAAAGATGATCGGGCCGTGCCGTGCCAGCCCACGTGCTCAGCCTAGCAGCTCAAGCACGGCCCAGGGCATGCCGCATGCCGGGCACGGCCCGTTTAGCCCGTGCCGTGCCTGGCTCATGGTGGGCCGTGCTGGCGTGCTCACGGCCGGCCCATTTGGCCAGTTCCCACATCCCGCAGCCTCTTCTACACTTCACTTCACCAAGGCCACTCGCTCCCCTCCCGACTCCGACGCGGCGACACCCTCGCGCTAGGGTTAGCGCCGGCGACGGCCACCGCCACTCCGCCACCCGCCCCTATCCCGGCCGTCTGCTCCTCCCCCGGACGCCCCTCTCCTATTCACGCGCGCGTCTAGGGTTAGCGCCGCCACTCCTACCCCGGCGGCTCCTCTCCTTTCCCGGGTCCCGGACTTCTCCTCTCCTCCTCTGACCGCTCCTCCATTGTTACAGGTACCAGCATGGAGGGCGAGATGACCAGCCGCAGCGGCCACCTCTCGCCGGCAGCGGGTCCGCTGGAGGATGACAACCTGCTCCGCGAGATCCTCCTCCGCCTCCCCCCGCAGCCGTCCTCCCTCCCGCGCGCCTCCGCTGTCTGCAAGCGCTGGCGCTGCCTCGCCTCCGACCCCCGCTTCTGCCGCCGCTTCCGCCGCCACCACCGCCAAAACCCTCCCCTCCTTGGCTTCTTCAACAGAGACAGCGACCTCTTCCCCTTCGTACCTACTCTTGAGCCCCCAAATCGTGTCTCGCCTGGCCGCTTCTCCTTGCAGCGCCGCGAAGGCGACCGCTTCATCTCCCTTGGATGCCGCCATGGCCTCGTGCTCATCCACAACGCATGGCCGAACAAGGTCCTGGTGTGGGACCCCATCACCGGCGAACAGCACCACCTTGCCATCCCCCCTGAGCTTGTGATACATGCGGAGAACACAGCCATCAATGGGGCAGTGCTTCGTGCTGCCGGAGACATCCAACAGTTTCATGTGGTCTTGACAGTGGTGGACAACGTCGACAAGCAAAAGCAACACAAACGAGCGCTCGCCTGGCTTTACTCTTCCGAGACCAACTTATGGGGTGATCTCGTCTCAACACCGGTTCCATTCAAGGTTTCCACCTCGGATATTTTGGGTGATGAAGATGATGTCACCTTGGTGTTTATGGGAAAGCCCGCTGTGATGGTTAGGGATTCTCTTTACTGGATTCTTGCTGGGAATTTTGTTGGAATTCTTGAGTTTGATTTGGAGAAGCAAAGCCTAGCTGTGATACGGGTGCCAGCGCATATGCTTGAAAATGGGTTTTACTAGTTCTGGATTATGCGGGCAGAGGGTGGTGGTCCTGGTTTACTGTTGCAGAAAGATCAGAGCTTCCAGTTATGGAAGAGGAAGACTGATCGTGATGGTGTTGCTTCATGGGTTCTTGGAAGAACTATTGATCTGGACAAGCTACTTTCCCTGAATGGAAATGGCAGCCAAGTCATACTAGGGTTCGCTGAGGAGAATAATGTGGTGTTTGTGTGGACACACGGTGTCCTCTTTATGGTCAATCTTGAGTCTTTGCAGTTCAAGAAACTTGGTGAGACCAGAACCCTTTCTCACTATCATCCATTCGAAAGTGTCTACACTGCAGGTAATAGTATGCCTTCAGATATCGATTGTAATAAAACGAAGCCAATTTTTGATAATTGGTTGACAGATTTACGGTTCATACTCTTTCGTGTTAGGTTAACAATTTGCATATCACTTGTTTCCTTTACTGCTTGATGACCTCTTCAACATACAACAATTTTGTTTCTGTAGTATTTCTGTTCTGATTCTTGTGCGGTGGTGTTTTATATACTCCGTCCGATCCATATTAATTGTCGCTGGTTTAGTACAAAGTTGTACTAACTTTGTACTAATCAGTGACAATTAATATGGATCAAAGGGAGTAGTGATTATGATATAGATTTTTTTATGTTAGTGGCATCTTTTTTTTGTATGCTTTGTAGTCAGGTGTTGGGTTGAAATTGGTCTACTGTTGTCTTTATTTCTGTATTTTTTGTTGTTCAAGTCGGAGCTAGCAAACTGCCTTTTATCATGTTATTATATCAATATTCATACAGTAAAAAAAATGAACAACAAACTGGCAAATTATTTTTGTAATATTGAAGTAAATTTCCCTCTTGCATGCCGATTCACATATCCCTGTATAATGGTAGTTTCAGTGCATAGCTGCAGTACACTTTTCTCTCTCAAGATCAAGATATTTAACAGTTGGAAGTTGAAGACAACTGCGTAAAAAAGTAGCTTGAACCAACTGACATGTCAAATAAGTAGCTCAATAGACACAGTTGGAAACTTAAAGCTAGTTCTATTTCTTTCATTTAATATTTAATATATCTGCTAATCTTTCTACTAATCTCGAGTCCATATTGTCAAATTTGTTTGTAATTGGCGAATAATTGTTCATTTTGTCACTTTTAGGAGTCTTCATTGTGAGTAGCAAATATCCATTTGTACCAGGGAAACTAATGCTGAATTGAGTAAATTCTAATCTAAATAGTCTTGTTCACCTTTGTTGCTAGGATTTTTAGTATTGATGTATTACTTTGATTTTTAGCCTAATTTATTGAAGATAATCTAAATCTGAATAGTCTTCGTCATTTCTGTTGCTCGGAATGACCTATATTTTATTTATTCCAATGGGGCTCTGGTTAACTTGTCTCTTAGGACTAGCTGATTGTCTGAGTGTGCATCTTCTTCATTTTTACAATAATAATCAGTTTATACTGTTTTCGGTATATTCGTTAAATTTAACAATAGGTGTGGTTTTGTTTATCTATTGCCAATCTTGTATAAAACTGTTTTTTTATTCAAACTACAGCTATGAGTTTATCTAAACATCGTGTTGATGTCTCCTCTTGTCTATTTGGCTATTCTTTGGAGTGCCATTGATTGTTTTGACTTATGCTTGCAGAAACAAACATTGGTGGTGGACATGGTCGAGTTGATCTTTCACAGCACATAAGATGATTATCTAGTTAGGTATGCTACTGTGATGTACTTGTTGAGCAGGTAAGCTTCTGCATCTATGTTGAGGTATCTGAACTGTTCTTTAAAAAAAATTGCTTTCCTATTTACTGCCATTTCTCAACTACCAAATGGCAAGAGAGGACTCTTTAAGATTTTCTATACAACTCTTTGCTTAGCTATTGCCCACCTGGCCACTCATATCAATGCTTTCCTGGCAGGCTGCATCTTAGATCTTTTCTCCAGGCCCTGCTCCTCACCCTCTTCATGCCTTCATCAGCTGTTCTACATTTGCTTCCTCATGCCATTGCCCACCTACCTTCTCTATTATTTGTTGCTACCACCTCACTATTGGATGAGGAACCTTTCTTGTCCATCCAGCTGCCTTGCTTTCATTTACTTCCTCCTTGGTACTCCCCTGGTTCCTACTGTTAGTGCAATTTCTTCTCCTCTAGTTCCTTGGATGTCTGATGACTGAGGACCATTCTCCTTTTTGTGCATATTTTAAGTGGTAACATAATGAAATGCATCCTCTTTTGTGTTCGTAATTCATTTTTTTACTCGCCTTTGAGTAGTTTTTCATGGCTATAGATCTATCAAGTCCTAGTGTGATTTATATGTAGTTGGTAACTGACAATACCTGAACACTTGCTTCATTCTTTCTTTGTTACACAGAATTATAACTATGCCATTTGACATTTCACATTACTGTTTATTTTGGATCGTTATGCTACCCGGTGAACTATTTATTGTCAGGAGACTCGAAGAGCATGCTTTCATTAATTTTTAAAGTACATTTTTTATCCTTTTCCTTTCAGTTTTCTTGGATGATTATTCTAGTGTTGGGCGGTTTGCGTAAATATTTTCTCAGCATGTATGATACCTCTCAGTTTAACATAATTTGTCTGGTTCAAATTATATGCATCTATGCATTGTGAGCAGTCTATGTTCTTCACTCTTGGTCATGTTAGATGTTTAACACTTAATATTAAACACATGATCAAAATGGCATGCCTAGATTCGCCATAAATACTAGTTTCGTCATGAATATTTTTTTTAGTGTTCGGGGTATTGATTTTGATGCTGTGGAGATAGCATCTGTTTTGGGCCGATGGAAGTGTGTCCATTAATAAGATGATGCATGATCCCTTGTGGCTTCTACTGCATGATTTCAATAAAATTCAATTTGTTAGCGATTAGCTAGCTCGTGAACAGGGGTGTGTGGAAGTTAGCTATCTACGTGCCAGAACCACGAGTTGGTTTCAGCTCTAGCCTACCCCAACTTATTTGTGACTAACTACTGTAAGAGTAGAAGGTGTAGCAGTACAAATGAAGTGCTATCCTGTAGCTTTTCTCTTTTTCCCACGTTGGTTTTGTCCAACAATGCCGAGATGATTCAGTTTTGGAGCTTTCGGCACAACACTGGTGAAAGTTAACTCTTACTGTTGTTTGTGTCATACCAAATTGAGAGCTATGGCTTTAATGACTTTTCCGCTAATAAATTGTATATACAAATTAGTTTGGCTGACGAAATTCTTTGCTCCACAGGTATCTAGGATTACGTTCCGGTGGCTGTGATGCAGAAATGGGTTGTGCCCTTGTAATGGTCAACTTTGTAATGAGTTCGTCCATTTTGGGCGCTGTGCTCAACCCAGAAATTGGCCCTCTGTGACTCGTAGGACTTCATCGATTAATTTGTTGCGAATTTACTGTTTCCTATCCAGTTCATGAAGACCATGTCAGTTAATCTTTGACTCATTTGCTCCTTCCAAGCAAGGCAAGCAAGTCAACACCTGTCAGCTGTCTAGTACTGTACGTAGTACTTGCGTGCGTGCAGCATTTGCTTCGAATCTCTGCTTATGTTTTGTCAGGTTGAGATTTCAACTCTGAATCTCTGCCTATGTTCTGTCCCATGATGGATGTTCCCTTTTCTATTTGGTCCGGCCCGTGCGTTTATGGTGCGTGTAGGTTCGTTTTAGGTAAGAATTTGTCTCAGAAGAAGATATCATTGCTCTTGCTTGCGAGTAGCAGGGGATGCCTTCTGTAACTTGGATTTGCACCTTGGCCACTTTGCTGTTGGAGAAGAGACGAGACCGTGTTGCGTGGAAAACATAAGACCGTGTTGCGTGGAAAACATAAAAAACTATTCCGAACCAACAAAACCTATTCACAGAGGCCGCAGTTTCAGTATCTACCTTTAGAAGCATAATAAGATATTTAGATTACATGATGAAAGTATTCCCAAGAATAATTATTTTATAAAATGGCATTGCCTACCTAAGAAAAATGAAACCCAATGGAAGCCAAGATATACTACTGAATTACTGATGGAAGAACCATTTCAGAACTGAAGACTAAATATCTAAGGGAGATACCAAATCCACGAATGCAAAGGATATAGAAAATGTAATTTGAATATCGAATGATTACGCCGTGCCAACTCATGCGGTTTTGGAGAGTGGGTGCAAACTGCAAACCCATAGCCGTTTTTTACCGATGTACATCAAACCAAATGGAAGCCAAGGCATACTGGCATGGGTTCGATTTTGGCACATCATATTTCAACCCATGCATCTATATCTGAGCTAATACATTGCAGGTATGTGCAGTCTTAACTCAGTCAACGACATTATCCTTTTGGCACCTCTTGCTGACTTTAGGGTTGCAAAATCAAGATAACTTTTCGTGGCGGAGCTTCAACACAACACGATTTGAGAGAGGGCTAAATAACTGCTAAACAGAGTTGAGGGGGGCTGATAGTGTAGTATGTTAAGAAAGACCTGATAGTGTTAAATATTACGTTTTTAAGTAAAGAAATAAATTTAATTCGTAGGCGGGGGGGGGGGGGCATGGCCCCCTTTGGCCCTCACTAAGCTCCGCCACTGCCCGTAGCAATTGCAGACCTTGTAGATTGTGAGGTGTTTGTATGAAGAAGTCTCGATAGTTGCCCTGATGGCCTGCCTGCCGTGGAAGTATGAGGCGTTCGCGACGAAGTTGCCAGCCGCAATGGAGGCCACGTTCGTGCCGTGGCCGCTCTCAACCATGGGTTCGGAGCTGTCCAAGAATGAATCCACATCAATAATTTTGTTGTTGCGGCGGATGCTGCCAGTTCCCTCGCACATGCCCTTCCATTTGGCCGGCAACGACGGCATCCCGTAGTCGTCGAATGTGGGGTGGTTGGAGTTGACTCCGGAGTCCAATATATCAATGATCAACCCATTGTCGTAGATGTAAATGTCCCAGATATAGCTAGCATCCGTAGTCAGGTCAAGGAACTCCGTTGTATGAGTCGTGTC